TACTGCGGTCTCGCTATCATCTCCAGGCCGCCCTCCTCCTCCATTTTGGTAAGGAACTTGATAACCCGATATTCCGGCTCCGATTGCCGCACCATGTCAATTAATGCCAGTAGCTTCTTGATGCCAATCCAGACGCGCTTGCCGCTAATTTTTCTAGCTATTACTTGCAACTCTTCGGGGCTGAACAGATCCGAATCTTCCAGTACGGTAAGTACATGATCGGGACTGGACAGATTGGATACATGCAGGACGGAGGTGAATGCCGACAGCATTTCCATTTCCTCGAGCACCTGACGCCGGCTGGAGGTGCACAAGACGAGCAGCTTGCGGCCCTTCGGCGGCTGTTTCTTGAGCAGCACAAGCAATGCCTGCAGCGTCAGGTTGGAGTAGCGCGGTCCAATGGGTCCGTAGTCCAGCAGACGCTCCACATTGTCCACCACAATGCAACTGAGTGTCGAGCGGTAGGCATCATCGAATATCTTGCGTATGTGCAAGCACTTGGCGGACTCGGTGAAGCCCACCATATCCTCGGGCGAGCACACCTTGACAAACGGAAAGTTGCTCATCTTGGCCAGCTTGGCGGCCAACGCCGATTTGCCGGAATTGGGCGCACCCTCAATGAGCACAGAGACCAGACCCGAGCTTTCCGTGGCCTTGGCTTGCTGCACATAGAGCATGCCATCCTCAAGCACGTTGGTCACCGGCTGGCCCCAGTGGATGACGCCACGCGCGAGCATATTCTCGATCATTTCCTGTGCGGCACCGAATGCGGGTTTTATATCATTTTCCAAGGCATGCATAAAGTCGGAGCGTGTGACCTTCAACTTTTCCATGGCCTCGGGATCCACGTGAACCTTGGCATCGGCCTTGATCAGACGATTCATGGCCGTGGACTGGGCGGCACGCACCAGACCCTCCAGCTCGGCACCGCTAAAGTTCTTTGTGCATGACGCAATCTCCTTGTTATCCACATCGCTGGCAATCTTATTGAATTCGCGCATTCGCTTCGTGTGTATGTCGAGAATCTGGACGCGTCCCTGCTCATTGGGCAGGCTGATTTCCATTTGCACTTCAAGGCGACCGGGTCGCAGCAGCGCCTCATCGATCATATCCCTGCGATTGGTCATGCCAATGACCAGTATGTTGTTCAGTTGCTCCACGCCATCGATCTTGGCCAGCAGCTGATTGACCACGGTGTCGTGGACGCCACTGTTGCCCGCCACAGAGCCGCGCGCCTTGCAAATCGCGTCGATCTCATCGAAGATGACAATGTGCAATCCGCTGTTCGGCCCGAGACGCTTTTCCTCCTCCTCGGCATCGGCGAACAAGCGGCGTATGTTGGCCTCCGATTCGCCCACATATTTGTCCAGAATCTGTGGCCCGTTCACAATCTTGGGCTCGCGGGCATTCAACATGGTGCCAATCTGTCGGGCCATCAAAGTTTTGCCCGTGCCAGGCGGTCCGTAGAGCAATATGCCTTTCACATGCTTGATGCCCAACTGCTCGACCAGCTCGGGCGGAAAGACGCGCGAGGCGAAGGCACGTCTGAAGATGGCATTGAATTCGTCGTCCAGGCCACCGATGCCCATTTTGCCAAAGTCCCAGTCAGGATTTATGATAGACTGCCGCACAATTTTGCCCTTGGATCTGCCCGTCAGATTCAGCACAGAGTTCTCGGCCTTCTCGAATTGCACCACAGTGTTGCCCAGGACACGACCAAAGCGGACGTTGCGCGTCTTTGGCTCCTTGCCGTCACCAACAGTTCTGGGATCGACGGCTTCCAGCGTCTTGACCGCCAGACCAAGCAATTTCATGTCCTTGAATTCAAAGACCAGTGTTTGACCCACCGTTAAGGCCATGCCCGCAAACTTCATAATGAACTCCTTGGCCATTTCATCGGAATCGTAGGGCTCCTGGGTGTTGATCTTCTTTTGCAGAAAGTCCGTCTCAAAGGAAACGGACGTAACAATGTCGGAGCTGGCATCGAAGCGATAGGGACGCACATCGATCTCCTGGTTAATCGAGAGGGAGGCCCATTTGCGGTGCACCAGCGAGAAGCCCACATGTCCACGTGGCAGATCGACAATCTTCTCCAGCGCAAATATATAATGCTGACCAGGTCCCGGCGAGATGTCCACATATCTGTTAGTGAATCAGCGAAACACAAAAGAATTACTCACACTACACACTCCAAAAAAGAGACGCCCCCACATTGAGCTGGCGTCATTTTACTTCGCACAGAAATGAAGCAAAACTGAACAAACAGAAACAAAAACAGAAACTGACTTTACTTCCTCGGTGAAATCGGCGATATTGACGATTGCCTTGTTGGTCTTCGATAGTTCGTCTGTGGGGCATTTGATGGCCTTCATTTTGTGCGCTATTTCGGTAGCCATTTTCGCAGCACAAATTGTTTAAAATTAATTTTCTAGCGCGATTCAATATTTACGGGGCGAAATTGTTTTCCAAATACTGACTCACCAACAGCTGTTCGCACTGTTCTGCAGCCCTGGTTAAACAAAAAACAATATTTGTGTATACACTGGAAGAGCGTTTGCGTTGGAAGCAAAAACAGCTGATTTGTATTTTTTTTCTGCATAGTTATAAACCGGCGTTGTGCAGATAAGTGCAATAAAATTAAACTAAAATTAGTTTGACGCCAATGCGAAGCACATACAGCCTTATTTAAAAGGTAATGTACTTAATACATGCTTGCTTTAGATTAAGCAATTCAGGGCTTGGTTCTTATAATAAAAAACTTTAATTGAATAAACAAGTCGATTGTTGATTTTTGATATTTCAAATCAAGTGATAGATTATCATTTAGCTTTATTGCACTTAATGTTGTCGCGTTTTGCCAGGAGAACCACATTCTCCAAGGTAACATCGCGCGGCACGTAGAACTTGAGCGACGCCTGGTAGCCATTCGCCCGCAGGTGCTCCAGTCGTCCGTGGTCCAGGATGCGCTTGCACTGATAACCAATCAGCTCGCGCTGTTCGCGGTCCAATCTTTGCGTGGGCTCCTGCGGCGGCTGCTCTGCTCGAGTGGCCTCCGCCAGGGCCTTGCGACGCTCGCGACTCATGCCGCTGCCACACACAGCCCAGCTGACCATCTTGGTGATGATGACAAACTGTCGTGGTGTGACGCCCGCCGCCTGCAGCCACTTCTTGCCCACGTAGGAGCGCCACGAGCAGCGATGATGGCAGCACAGGGCAATCAGTATGTAGTTCGTGGTGCACGCTTCGTCGCCCAGCACGCAGCGCAGGGTCAGATCCGTTGCGGCGCCGCACAGATGCTTCGATAGCGCAACATTGCGCCGGGTGCGTTGCAGTTCCGGCAGCTGCGACAGCTTGAGGTCCGCAATATCTGCGCGTATGCGCTGCACCAGCTGCTTGTTGGCCAGCTTGTTGTCCTTCTTGTGGCGCAGCGAGAGCCGATCCACCAGCACCAGCTGCGAGTTGGCCAAGTGTTGCGTATCGAGCGCCGTGGCCAGATAGAACGCCAGCTGGCCCTTGCCTGCTCCAAACTCAATATAGCTGGTGTTGTCGTTCAGCTGCTTGTCATGCTCCAGAATGCCCAGCAAGGCGGATGTTTGCACCAGGTGCTTGCGCGTCTCCGGACCAAATTCGCTGTGGCTGAGCGGCTCCTCCAGCGTTTCATGTTGCAGCTGCAGCTGCTCAATGTGGCCGGCTATGTGTGTGTCGTACAGCTGCTTCACTTTCTCTATAACCCCATAGAACTCTGCATCCTCCAGCTCATGCAGCTTTAGCTTCTCGTAGTCGCTCAGCTCCTGCTGCCTGCCAGGCTCCAGTTCCTCGCCAGCATTGATATTTTTGTGTATATAGGGCAATGTGCTGATTTGCTCGCGGGCATTGCATATGGTTAAATGCTTGGTTAGCTTCCGCTTGAAGACTGTATGCTTCGGATCTAGTGGGCAGGGTATGCGCTCCGTGTCCGCGTTCTCCGAGGTTGCCTCGCTTGGCGGCTCGTGTGCTCCACAAAATAAACTGCCCTTGTTCGGTGACATTTTGCAGTAACGTTTCTTGCGCTGCACCCAGTGGGCACAGTTGTTGGCTGGCTCTTCATCTGCGGTCATCTTGGGTTTCTTAGCGGCGCTTGCCTCTGCCATGCCATTTGCCAAAGGGGAGAACTTAATTCTTTTACCTCGATTTAAGTAGACAATAACAAATGGTGAGTGCAGTGTGACCATATTTGATGAGCGTTATAATACCAGAACATATATGCGAAGACAATTGAACACTGCAGCGAATTACTTGTTTTGTGAACATTGTAGATTGGTAGGTAGGGCTACAATAGACTTTGTATATTATAACAAGTGTTTCTGCACCTTTCATCGTGTGTTAATCGAACAACTGAATTTGAAATGGCTGCATTTTGTTCGAGGTGGCAACGCTTTAATGAGCGTGAGTGAGATTATCGATAGTGGTAATATCGATAGTTAATATAGCATTTCTTAAACACGGGAAAAAAGCCGCGAGGCGCAAACGTTTTGTTCAATAATATTAATTTACTGCATAAATTATTTAGAGACGATACACATTTGTAACAAATAAGCTGCCATAAACCCACCAACATGTAAGTACCATTGCGCAAAGCGCCTGCAAAGCAGCAGCAACATGTGCGACCGGCATGTCCCGTTGTTGTTGTTGTTGTGCCAAACAAAAGTTGAACTGAAAATTTTCGCAGGGCCCTCGTAAAACCGAAATCAGAACTGACGCCGGAGGAGCTGGCCCGCCAGGAGGAGGAGGAGTTCAACACCGGACCACTCTCGGTGCTAACACAGTCGGTTAAAAACAACACACAGGTACTGATCAATTGCCGCAACAACAAAAAGCTGCTCGGCCGCGTCAAAGCCTTCGATCGCCATTGCAACATGGTCCTGGAGAATGTGAAGGAGATGTGGACGGAGCTGCCGCGCACGGGCAAGGGCAAAAAGAAGGTGAAACCCGTTAACAAAGATCGCTTCATATCGAAAATGTTTCTGCGCGGTGATTCTGTTATATTGGTGCTGCGCAATCCACTTGCCACCGCAGCGGGCAAATAGACGGCAACAAAAACTCATAATTAACATTCAACAACAATCAATAAAACCAAATGGAATTCTCTATAAAATGCGAATTCAATTCATATTAAACAAACATTGCTGTCAAGGCATTCAATTGTTCTTCAGCTGTTTGTGCACAATGGGCACATATTCGTCGTATTCCGCCCGATAGAAGGTCCCGGCCACGGGTTCGCCCAGACGATGGTGCTCCGCAAATTTGGCTGCATGGAATTTGGTCCTGCTGCGACGCGATGTATTGCTAACGCGCGATCCACTGATCTCCAGCATTTTCGGCTGCCTGTAGAGCAGAAATACATAACGATGCAGTCCCGTATCCTTGGGCGGACCCGAGCCCACATAATCGGCAAGCGCATCGCCCTTGGCCACATCGTTGCCGGGTATATTGATAACCAGCCAGTGCTTGAATTCGCGCAGCTTGGGTTCAGCACGGCTGGGCGCATCCGGATCGACCATCATCAGCGTGTAGTATGCATCCGGTTCGGCTTTCCATTCCACCACGGGCTTATTCTTAACCTGTGTGGGTGTAACAATGTCCCCATCCTTAACCAACAGACGATTATCGTAGCTGACCTGCGAACGGTAAGTTTTAGTGTTTGGTTAAGTTTTTACTCCATGTGTTAGGTTTGGTTGGCGCACCCTTAGCAAATCGGTCGGTGGTTCCGAGATCACATCCGGCACCACTTGATGCCAATTGAATGCATCATTCACCGCGGAGCTATGCACGGCCAGAATGCTGGCAATTATCACGGCAAGCAGCAACATTTTTCACGCTAAACCAAAATAGAGCGTAACAAAAAATGCAAAACCAATTTAATTAAAGTTAAAAACTGGGCACGATGCAGTCGAGCAAAACCGACTGCGCAATGTTCAATAACAACTAAAAACGGGCCATATCCGATCTTTGGGGAAGTTCAGCTGTAGTCCGTAGTAGAAGCTGCAAACTTTCGCCATTTATCTCTCCATATGAGTTGAAAGACATCTTTTCCCGTACGTATAGCTTGCTCTTTAGAGCAGCTAATACGCAGTTTCCTCTAAAACTGTACACACGATTGCGTCAGTGGGCGTGGTCAGATAATTTGTACACAATGTCTGACTGTAACTTGAATAGCGACAACAAAAGGTTGTATTCTCACGGACAGACGGACAGAACGAATATACCCGTTTCACTTTGTAAGCGTGTATAAAAAATATACCCTAGCTAAAATATGATCTGCTCGGCGACGCGCTCTGCGAACAACTGAAACTCGTTTGACTTGAAGCTGGGCTTATAAATCGCTGGCGCTGGCGACTGACAGCTGAGGCTGAACGTTCCGGGAAATATATTTAATGACATGTGTTTGAATGCACGCAAATTTGTATTGGTAATTAACGAATGCACTTGCTAATTTAGCAAAAAAAAAACAGAAGTGCGTATAATGTTTGCAAATCATTTGCCCGACAGCTGTTTGTACAACTTGGGCACATAATTGTCCCACTGTGCCTGGTAGAAGTTGCCAGCAATGGGATTGCCCAGCTGGTATTTGGACGCAAATTTGATGGTGTTAAATTTGCCGCGCTTGTCGCCGCTCGTCTTGGGTATGCGCGGCTCATTGCAGGACAGCTTCTGCGGCTGCTTGAAGATCAGAAAGACATAGCGATGCAGCCCGGTGCCCTGTGGCGGCCCGGAGCCCACATAGGCGCTGAGCACATCGCCTTTGTCGATCTGTGTGCCGGGCACATTGACTACCAGCCAATGATGCCATTCCCGAAACTTGGGCTCCTTGCGGCTGGGCGCATCCGGATCGGTGAGCAGCACCGTATAGAGTGCATCCGGTTCTGTCGACCACTCCAGCTGCGGTGCGCCCTTCACCTGGGTGGGCGTCAGCTCGTTGCCATTGTTGACGTCCAGGCCGCCCGCATAGGTGACCTACAGGCAGCAGCAGCAGGTAGTCAATTTTTTGTGGCCACGAACCGGGTCAGCTTACCTTGAGCAGCTTCATGGGCGCCACCTGTACCACATCGGGAACAATCTTGTGCTTGGCAAAGGACTCGACGGCCTCGGTCATAGTTCCAAGTCAAAAATTCGATTTTGATAGATCTGTCGGGCTATATTTTGTGTGACAATTTATTTACAGTGTACGATTTGACAATAAGCTGATATCGCAGCTTGGCTTTAGCTTAATTTATGCGTTTCTTTGGCAATCCGACAAAACCGGCCAACAGCTGCGGCTTGTCGATTGCCTAAAACGACAACGTCTCCCCCTTAGGATGGAGGGCCTTGTGCAAGTCCGGCACCTCTTTGCTCCATTCGCTGGTAAAGAAATTGCCAGCCAGGGGAAAGCCTAGATTATATTTTTGGACAAATTCGCGGGTGCTGAATTTGATGCGGCTCCTATCGCTATGCTTGGGCACATGATCGAAGTCGAACTTTAGATAATCCGGCTGCTTGTAGAGCAGAAACACGTAACGATGTAGGCCGCTGCCTTTGGCGGGCGTGGCGCCCACATAGCCAACACGGACATCGCCCAGCGACTTGTGGTCGCCGGGTATATTGACAACCAGCCAGTGCAGATACTCCTTTAGCTGCGGATACATTTTCTCTGGCACATCCGGATCGGTCATCAGCAGCGTATAGTAATCATCCTTGCCAGCGATCCAATGGACCGTCGGCTCATCCCGCACCTGCAGCGGCTGCAGCTCGACACCACGATCGGCACGTATGTTGCCCGCGTAGGTGACCTGCTTACAAAAAGGGCGAGAGATTAGTGAGAGTTCATTTAAATTTGGGGGTAATCTTACATTGAGAAAATCCTGGGGGCCCACATCTATAAGATCGGGTATAACGTCCAGGTGCCTCAGGAACTTGCTCACAATCGTTTCCTGCGGACTGCCGCTGACCGACAGGCACTGGCCCGGGCACAGGCACAGGCTCAGGCTCAGGTAGAGGCACAGCAAACGACTGCAGTTGGTCCACATGGCGCTTGCAGCATCAAGACTGCGTTGCTCTGGTCTTGAAAGCCACTTAAGTAGGCGCTCACACCCAGACACCAAGCCAGATTGCTGTTGTGCTGAAAAAACCGGCTGTCTGGGTCTAGGTCTGGTGGCCAGTTTGCCAACTCGCCCGCTCAACTTGGGCTTTGTTAAAACAGCTGTTGCTCTTTTAAGCCATGGTTAATATGTCTGACTGGATAAGAAGACTGCTGTTACCCTTCCATTGTATAATTGCATCATTTCGTTGTACCCTACACCCATTGAGAATGGCCTAAAGTGGGCATTATGGTTCTTGTAAGTGCAATGAGACGTCTCTTATCCCATTGATTATTAATTAATAAAATGATAAGAGACTTAAAATTCGGCACGTAGATCCAACTAAACAAGTTTCTTTTAGTTTTATGGGCATTTTTTTATATTTGTATATTTATATCGTTATGTTTACTGATATTTCAAACATTTTTCACGAAATCTTCACTTAAACTTTATTCGTTTATTAATGGTCGACAGAAACGAGTGTCTGCCTAATTAATTAATACCTACAAATTATGAAATTGAAATACCAAAAGTCTAACTAGAATACACAATTTTCTAATAGCTGTAGCTGGAGGTGTTGCATACACATATTTCAAATATTTTACTTTTTGGATACTTTTTCCCCAAAAATTAAAGAATAAGAAAACAACGTATTTATAGAGGTACGATCTTGGGCCTTGGTATTTACACACATTTGCATGAAATATTAAAAAGTTGAAAATTTCATAACGATCGGACTCTAAGCGCCGAAGTTATTCAAGAAGGCATTCATCAAATAGTGTGAGGTTTCAGGAAAGAAGAAGCATGCGTGGTTGTTTGTGTGAGTGCGATTGCTTGTGTGTTTGTGTGACTTTCTGATAAACATAAAGAACAGAGTTGGAGCAGCATCTCGGCGCGTACAGGGTATCTCCAAATAGGGCACTCTCGACTCGCGCACTCTTGCTTCTTTTCAATTAGTTAACAGCCTGTAAAGCTTGACGTGCCTCAGCCCAATTGTTGCTCCGGAATTTGCGTGACTCTGACGAACAAAAAAAAAAAAAATTCGTGAATGTTATGAATGTCGAAAACAGTTAGTAGCTCATTAAATTCTAGTTAAATATGTGTGCAGGAAATTGTCGCTAAATTCCGAACATGCAAATCCGGCAATACGTCTGCACTGATTCTAGTTATTTTATTTAACATGTGGAATAACTAGCCAGGGCTAAACATAGGTTAGTTACCAACTAAATATGGCTAGTAATAACTAACTATAGCTAACCTATAATTTGGTTGCATACACTTTTCCATTTCGCATAACTTATTTTATCTTTGAGCAAATGAATTTTTTCAAAATAGAATGTTGGCATTATTCTGATTATACAGCTCAATTGAGTTGTGAATTGTTTGCTGAAAATATACTAATTATATATAATCAAATAAATAATAATGAAAATATAAGGGAGGTTCCGAAATTTCTTTTTTGTCATTGGTGACAACTTCGGGCATTTACGAAAACATGTTTATTGTCTATTTTTTTTTTTAATAATTATTCATGTTTTTGTTTGTGAATAGTACCAAATTGAGTAATAAAATAGATAAACCCAAAACTTCAGCTGAATTCGAACCAGCGACATGCCGCTTGTTAGTTCGACGCTTGGGCTAAGTCATTTTGGCTCTCAACTTGGTACAATTTTTAGATGACTTTTGATCAAAAATAATGTTGCCGGACTTAGATGCCAAATTTATTAAGAGGCAAAACCATAAACAAAAAGCCAAACCTAATGAAAATCGGTTGAGTTTTGACCGATTTATGGGGGTGGGAAATTTAGACCTATGTATATGTCTATATAGAATATGTGTCTATGTAGGATATTTAAGGGTACAATTTTCATATGAATTTTGGCCAAAAATAATGTTGTCAGATTTTGATGCCAAATTGATAAAGAGGTCAAACCATGAACAAAAAGCCAAACCTTATGAAAATCGGTTGAGTTTTGATCGAGTTATGGGGGTGGGAAATTTAGGCCTATATGTCTATATAGGATATGTGTCTATGTAGGATATTTAAGGGCACCATTTTCATATGAATTTTGGCCAAAAATAATGTTGTCAGATTTTGATGCAAAGTTGATAAAGAGGTCAAACCATGAACAAAAAGCCAAGCCTTATGAAAATCGGTTGAGTTTTGACCGAGTTATGGGGGTGTGTATATGTGTATATAGGATATATATAAAACTGTTTGTCCTGACTGACTGACTGACTGACTGACTGACTGACTGACTGACTGACTGACTGACTGACTGATTGGTGATCAACGCACAGCCCAAACCGTAAGAGCTAGGAAGCTGAAATTTTCACTGTAGATACCTTATGTGATGTAGGTGCACGTTAAGACGGGGTTTCGGGAAATTACACTCGCAAGTGTGGAAAAATCGCGAAAAACGTTTGTATGTAACTTTTTTGTTTACCATCCCATCGGCCCCAAACTTATTTTCAAAGATCTTTGTTCAAATTCATTTGAGGGGTGTTTCACACTTTTCGAAAAATCCGTTCCTCCTTGGTGGAAATGGAGGTCAAAGATTTGGTGGGTGACGTTTCGAGCTAAAATTCATTTCCAGTGATCTATATGAAAAATCATTTGAGACGTGTTTCTCACTTTTCGCAGAATTCAAACTTCGTCGGGGGGAATGCGATTTAAAGATTTTTTGGGCGGCGTTTTAAGTTGTGTCCGATTTGCATCAAACTTATTTTTAAAGCTCTTCATAAGAACTTAATAAGTACGTATTTCAGCGATTTGGGAAATTCCACCCGCAACAGTGGTAAATTGGCGGAAAACGGTTGTATGAAAGTTTTTTGTTTACCATCCGATCGGCCCCAAACTTATTTTCAAAGATCTTTGTTCAAATTCATTTAAGGGGTGTTTCACACTTTTCGAAAAATCCGGTCCTCCTTGGTGCAAATGGGGGTCGAAGATTTGGTGGATGACGTTTTGTGTTCAAATTTATTTCCAAAGATCTATACGAAAAATCATTTGAGACGTGTTTCACACTTTTTGCAAAATCTAAACTCCTTCGGTGGAAAATGCATTTCAAAGATTTTTTTGGTGAATTTTAAGAGTTTTCCGATTTGCATAAAAGTTGTTTGATTCCCGTCCGATCAGTTTTAAAATCATTTTCAAAGCTTTTTTGATTTTATAACATACGTGCCACGGGCAAGGCCGGGTTATACCCGCTAGTAGGATATATGTCTGTATAGGATATTTGAGGGTACAATTTTCACATGAATTTCGGCCAAGAATAATGTTGTCAGATTTAGATGCCAAATTGATCTATAGGAACAACAATAATTTCTAATACTTGGCTATTCAAAACCAACTCAGATTTCTGAGCAGTTTAGTAAAAGTTAAAGAAGTCAAATAATTATTCGGAAAAGATATTCATACTGAGGATATCAATCCTCTATCTATCTTCAGACAGGGTCTTTAAAAGTCTAGCCGATCTAGTTTGTAAAAACGTCCGTTTGAGTCAGTTTAATTAAGAGGACAATGTTCAGCTGGAAATATAAAAAAAAATAAAGAAACAGTTTTTAAATGAATTTAATTTGAATTTTTGCAATTTTTAATAAATTAAATAAATAATATTTTCAATAAAGTTGCTTGATTTTTGGTCGATTTCTGTTGGGGAAAATGGGAAAAGCGAGAAGGGGAAAATGCATAGAGAGAGAAAGCAAAGCAGTAAAGAGAAGTCGATAGGGAAAAATCGATGCGGAGTAGGGAAATAAATAGAATGGCTAAAAGTCGAGCGCTTAAACTTAAGAAACTAATTTTATGGCCTAGGCATGTTCCGGTTCCATTTGGTCTGCTTACTCAAAGTGCCACGCCCCTGCGGCAGAGGGGCTCAGTGGCACTCAGTTCCTTGGTATGTACATTAACAGCGGCAGTGCGAGCTAAGATCTAAGATGAGGAGCTGTAGCTGGAGGAGGTGCCCGCCGTGGAGCCCGACGTTGAGCCCGAGCCGTACGAGGAGGAGCTGCTGGGATGATACGAGCTATAGGCCAGATTCTGTGAGTCCCAACGCGCATAGGGGCCACCACTCTGCGGCTCCCAGCTGCTGGGATCGTATGAGGAGGCCGTGGTGCTGGGCACGCCGTATTCAACCGCCGGCATTGGAGCTGGCATGGGCACCATGTTCATTTTCATGCCGCCCAATTTCTGGATCAGATTGTAGATGAGGAAGCCGAGCACCAGCTTAATGGCGATCTTGGACAAGATCAATGCCTTGGTGGCCTTCAGACTGACCAGAGCCAGCAGAATGGGCATGACAACCTTCAACTTGAACTTCATGAGCAGCAACAGAGGCAGGAACAGCTTGTCCTTGTTCTTCTTCTCAGCACGGCCTGGAGAATGAATACGAAAACAATTAGGTTAAGAATTAGCAAATTCTGGTTATGTCGCAGGCTGACGCACCTTCCGCCTGGGGCAGCTCCAAATCGAAGCCACGATCCGCACGATAGGTCATCACGGAGCTGGCAAAGAAGGTCTCCGGCAGCTGGACGCGCACCTCGTTGGTGCGCAGAATTCGTGCCACACGATCCACAATGACCTTGTCGATGACATCATCATCGAAGGCACGACCGCTGACCTCCTCCTCAACATTGGCGACCGTGTCCAGATAGGTGAGCACCTTCTCCTTCAGACAATGCATCGCATTGGCATGGAAGCACTTATCTACAATCGTCGAGATTAGCTCATCGGAGCTGTGGATGCGCGGCGTGACCCCATTATCAATGGCAGCGCCCTGAACAGAAACCGCCGCCAGCAGCAGCAAACAACCGGACGCGGCGAAGGATGTGAAACGTTGTGCCATTGCCTCAAGATTTTCAACTATACAGTCACAGATATCCACGCGCTATATATATGTATCTATATCTTTATATATATCAATCACTTTCGGAGCGCGTTGTGTTCACTGCGTTGCCGTTGCGACGACAATGTTGAACAATTGGCCAGTACCGACGATTTTATACTGCCGCTCCTCGGGCGCTAGTTAAAAGAGACGCGTACTTCACCCGCAACTGGTGCATTCAAAAGTTGCTTTTTTTTTTTTTCGTTCGTTTTTGGAGCGCACAAATATTTTTTGGACAGCTACGTATCGAGTGACGAAAGCCGTTGCCGAACCTTGGCCAAAGTCTTCGTAGTGTCCAAAGTTTTTCACCAAACTGTTGGATCGGCTTTTTGATATGTGGGTTGACCGGCTGACTCCTCTGGCTGCTCGCAAGCTTTCTCGCTTTCCATAACGGCCACACTGCCCCCCCTTTGGCAGCCAACCCCCTCCCTCCCCCTCAGCTGCGCAGCGGTCGAAGTTGCATTATCGATGGCCGATGAAAATAACTTTTTGTTTCGCCCAATTAGTATGCGTGCCCTCAACTCTTACGCGAACACATGAAAGCCAGTCAGTCCCAAGCCAGGCCCAGGTCCAGGGCACGTACATTTTTCAGCGTATTGTGTCAAATTTCGATACAAGAAATCAGTACGGAACTCGTCTACGCTTTGGTATTGGCCATTTGACCATTTGCTTTGTATTAGGCCATTTTTTTTTTTTTTTCGTCTATGCGGAACTGCGAATTGAGTTATTGTTATTTTGCTTGTTTCTGGGGATTACGAAATATACTTGCGACATATATATATATATATTTCCGACACGTTTCTTTTGGGGGCGATGCTTTTCAGCCAGCCTTAAATGTGGGCCACTAAAAGTGAAGAAATCTTGACCTTTTTTATTGCTTAGTTAATTAAACATAATTTTGAGAAATAATTACACATGATAACTCTTTGAATTTCCCTTCTGCCATGCCTTTCATAATTTCGTGCTGGGATACAGTGAATTTTCCTATCACTAGTCCCTATTATAATAAAAATAATTAAAAAAATAATAGAAAATAATAAAACGTATAAAAATGTTCACTTATCATGCAAAGTTCTTTTAAATAACTTTTACTTTCAATGGACTAAGTTCTTTAGTTGGTACAAAACTTTTTCTTATTCACACCCGTTTTTCTTTTATTAAAGTATTCATTTCAAAAGTCAGCTTAGAGATTAAATTTAAATTTTATTTACTAACAACTTAATAAATATAAGAAAATACGATGATGGCATGTTGAAAAGGATATTTAGTTTTCTGCAAAGTTATCTTTACAACTTTCCATTCGACTGTAAAAAAAAAAAATAAATAAAAACAACGCGCAAACAACGATACAAAATAAACAGTCTGTTATAAATTAACCTAATAGTAATGCAATAATTTATTGTTTTATTAAAACAATTAGTTGCCAAACACGTTCGTTTCCTATAGATAAATATTGTTAATAACTGATAAATAAATAAATTATTTCATACACATTTTATTGGGCGTGTTCAAAAGTGTGTCATAAAAAGAGAAGCTATTGGAATGTGAAATTAAATATGAATCGAGGCTTAAGCTAAAAAGACTTTTTGTATTTGTTGTCCGCAAACTAATTGACTTGAACTTCCACTAAACATTTGCTTATGTTCAACATGAACTCCCATTTTTTGGAAATTGTAGTGTAAACATAAATTGTAATCTAAGTATCTCTGAAATTAGATTTTACGTCTGTCGAAAAAACAAAACAAATAAGAGTGCTCTAGTTGGGAGTACACGACTAGGAGGTACCCTGCATCAAAGAGAGTACGAACACTGTATTATAGATTTTATATTGTGCTTAAATTTTGTTTATATTGTCTTTGCTTGAACCCAGTGTTAAAAGCTTTCGAACCTTTTACTGTACATAAGAACACAAAAACAAATATACATATTTTCGACTGTGCTTCTTCTACCCCAGCTCCCCATTATTAGAAACGCAGTATTGACTAAATAGAATCGGTTCTTCCAGTCCGATCCTTTTGAAATTCAAGGAAATCTGCGACCAACTATGGAGCCTATGTATTTATATCCCAAAGAGCAAGGATCTACCTTTAAAAGAGTGTTTTTTTAAGGGCTTAGGGGTCTAAAAAGTGAAATATTCCTAATCTGTGTGTTCTCTATGAGAATCTACATAGCAAGTTTTTTTGTAGATAGCTCTTTTAATATTCTAGAAATGCTCAAAAAAATAACGTCTCAAAATCGTTATTTATCGACTTTTTGAAAATAGGAGGAGATATCGCATAAATAATGAGAATGACCGTTTCCTAGATTAACACACAGAATGAAATGGATTCGGCTCTTTCCTTGAGAATCTACAAGTTTGTTTCAGCTAGCTCTTCTAATATTGGAGTTATGTTTAAGAAAACGTGTCTCAATATTGATATGTATCGACTTTATGGATAATAGGAGGAGATATCGCAAAAGTAATGATAACGATAGTTTTCTAGATTTAAATGGACTAATGACTGGGCTCTTCGTACGGTTATCTTCAAGTTTGCTGTAGCTAGCTCTTACAATATTCGATTTATGCATAATAACTACTTCTCAAAATCGGTATTTATCAAATATATTAAAATGGAAGATATTTGAGAAAAATACTGATTTTAATAGTTTATAGATTCCTCTATATATCTATAAAATAATGTTAATTATAATGGCAGTCTCCAAGATGAGGAGACAGACGAACTTGGGCAGATCGATCCAGCTACTTATTTGGATCATGCGTATATATACTTTATGAGGTCGGATAAGACTCCTGCTTGCTTTTCAAACCTTTTTCACAAAACCAATATACCCTTTCTACCCATTTTGAATGTGTTCAGGGTATCGAAACGCATCTAGCAATTCACTGCCAGGGAGGTAATTGTGGACAACACTCGTAGATTACCTAACTGATAGCGTGAATAATGCAAGAGGTGTCAACGTTGTTATCGTCACACGATCTGTTATCACCCAATAAAAGAAATTTTCAACGTCTTCAAGCGTCGGCGTGATGCGTGCCAAAATTAAAAAAAAATACTGTCGAAAAACAGTCAAAGGCAAGATAAATAAAATAAAAAACAAAAAAGTGTAAACATGCAATCAATTTCCATATGCTCGTGCGGCTGTGCAACGTCCTCCTGAATGCCAAATTGTTATGAAAGCGAAGCGATGCGAGGCACTGAGGCAAGCGGCCAACAGCTGCCGCAAACCCATCCCAACCCCCTCGCCCAGACCCTCCCCCCTGATACACAGCGGGGTAGCTGCAAGAAAATATTCGCTTGAGTTCTTAAAGGTCGGCCAATATGGCCCAGCTGCGCTTTATGGGCCCGAAATGGGCGCAACATGCGTGTGGATTTTGTCTTCTTTTTTTCTAAATCAAATTCAAATGCAGCCGATTGTGTAGAAATTGACCAGGCTCAAGAATTTCGGGCGGGCTTTTTTTAAGGCCTTTTTTCCGTTTTCGCTTCAGTTCGCGTCGTTGGCCAGCTAAGCAGCTCCTTATCGATTAGAATACTTAAAGACTTTCACTTTCGGCGAGAGAAACGGGCAACGGGCCACTTTCATCGCGGCAAGTGAAAAGCAGAAACTTAAAAATTAAAATTGAAAGGCAGTTCATCAAATGAATCGAGCCAGCGCATTTGACTGGAATATTCAATTAGATGCGTTGCGCCAAAGAATTTGAGCCCACTTAAATGTTGGCTAATTAGGATGCCCCCAATGTGTTTGGCCCATACATAATTTAATGCCCCGTGGAAATTCACTTGGCCCTAACCGAGCGACCTACTTAATTAAGGGCCAGCTGTGGGTACACTTGAAAAAATAATTTTCATGAAAATTGCCATTAAATGAAGATTTTCCTCAATATCAGAAAATGTTTTGCATTTAATAAAATTATTTACTTATATTTCGAAAATGAATGAAAGAAAATGAAAATATTTGTAACTATTTTTCTTTATTAAATTAAGAAAGTTTTTTCCTGAAAATAAGAAAATTAATTTGCTTCAATTTTTTAAGGCATTTATTTAGCTGGTTTATTTTGTTTTGGTTTCATTTTGTTTTTGTTTTTTTTTTCTTACTATTTGTGTTTTTCAATAAATAAATAAATAGTTATTATAAATAGGGTCTTAAGGATGCGGCGCAGCCTCGCGCTCAGTTTTCGCCAAAATCAAGTCACAAAAACAAATGGGAAAATTTTTAACAAATTAACAACAACAAATTTTCGTGGCCCGTTTTGTGGCTTCAGCGTTTTTGGGGAATTCGCTCGCCGGCCTAGGCATACGCCCGATAGGCCAGCTCCTGGGCCAAATGCTGCGGCTGCTCCATGACGGGCGCGGCGCCTCCAAAGTTGCGACCATCCCACGGCCCGTGGGCGGTAATGTGGGCGGTATGATGGTGATCATGGGCAATCTGTGCGGGGGTAGAGAAAATATGGCTTATGAATAGAGTGCAGCTGCCTTGGCTAAATAAGCTAAATGGTTGGCACATTTTTGTGGGTTTGGCTTTTAGGGGGTTGGAGTGTGTTGTTGTGATGGGGCGTGGGTTTTGGACTCGGGTTTGATGACATTGGACTTTGGACTCGACACTTACCCAGCGCACGCGCCCCTTTTTGAAGGGTGGGGGGAGAAACTATACATACGTGCTATGTGAATGCAATTATTTAAATGTAATTATTCGAATTTTACCCGCCGCCCGTCGCCCTCTTTCAACTCACAACTCCCTAACTCGCACTAATTACCACAGCCCGCGAATGCCTAAAAGACAATAGAGATGCGGTTTTAATAGCTGATTGGTCTTACCTTTTTGCACAATTGGAAAATGGCCAAACCAACCGAGACAATGAAGGAGAAGAAGCCGAGGGCCAGCGCATTGAATGCCTTGATCTTCAGTATGCCAATCGCCATGGGTATGACCGTGATGGCCTTCAGCAGAATGAGCACCAGTAT